AAACCGAAAATAACTTCTACCGGTCGAAATCCACAAGAAAATGTCTTTAGGTAATGTGTAATGGGCGTTTGGAAACACGTAAAAAATTCGATAATTATCCAAAAATTGAGATTTTTGAAAAGTTGCCGAAAGTTCCATAAAAAAAATTGGAATATAGATCTCGACGAACTGATTCGAAAACATAAGGTTTTATTGGTCCCGGACCAATGTTTTCTTAAAACTTCGATGCAAAATTAAATTTTTTGGAGAAATTCAGAAAATGCCATAATTCATTAACGGATTTTGGAAAAATTGTTGGAATTTTCGAAAAGCTAAAACCAAAAATTACTTTTTCCGGTCGAAATCTACAAGAAAATGTCTTTAGGTAATTTTCGAAGGGCGCTGGCAATTAGGTAAAAAATGTTATAATTAGTTATAAAAAAATTGAAATTTTTGAAAAGCTGCCTAGAAATCCACAAAAAAATCTGGAATATAAATCTCGACGAGCTGATTCGAAAAACATAAACTTTTAATGATTCCGCGAACCCAAGGTTTCTTAAAAATTCGGTTTGAAAATGAATTTTTTGAAATATCTCAAAAAGTGTCATATTGCATTTATCAACTTTGGAAAAATTGGTCGAATTTTCGAAAAACGAAAACCGAAAATAACTTCCCCCGGTCGAAATCCACAAGAAAATGCCTTTGAGTAATTTTTAACAGGTGCTTGCAAAAACGTAAAAAATTTGATGATTTTCCAAAAATTGAGATTTTTGAAAAGTTGCCTAAAATACCATAAAAAAAATTGGAATATAGATTTCGACGAGCTGAATCGAAAACATAAAGTTTTATTGGTCCCGAACCAATGTTTTCTTAAATCTTTTATGCAAAATTAAATTTTTTGGAGAAATTCAGAAAATGCCATAATTCATTAACGGATTTTGGAAAAATTTCGAAAAACTAAAACCGAAAATAACTTTTTCCGGTCGAAATCTACAAGAAAATGTCTTTAGGTAATTTTCGAAGGGCGCTGGCAATTAGGTAAAAAATGTTATAATTAGTTATAAAAAAATTGAAAATTTTGAAAAGCTGCCTAGAAATCCACAAAAAAATCTGGAATATAAATCTCGACGAGCTGATTCGAAAAACATAAACTTTTAATGATTCCGCGAACCCAAGGTTTCTTAAAAATTCGGTTTGAAAATGAATTTTTTGAAATATCTCAAAAAGTGTCATATTGCATTTATCAACTTTGGAAAAATTGGTCGAATTTTCGAAAAACGAAAACCGAAAATAACTTCCCCCGGTCGAAATCCACAAGAAAATGCCTTTGAGTAATTTTTAACAGGTGCTTGCAAAAACGTAAAAAATTTGATGATTTTCCAAAAATTGAGATTTTTGAAAAGTTGCCTAAAATACCATAAAAAAAATTGGAATATAGATTTCGACGAGCTGAATCGAAAACATAAAGTTTTATTGGTCCCGAACCAATGTTTTCTTAAATCTTTTATGCAAAATTAAATTTTTTGGAGAAATTCAGAAAATGCCATAATTCATTAACGGATTTTGGAAAAATTTCGAAAAACTAAAACCGAAAATAACTTTTTCCGGTCGAAATCTACAAGAAAATGTCTTTAGGTAATTTTCCAAGGGTGCTGGCAATTAGGTAAAAAATGTTATAATTAGTAATAAAAAATTGATATGTTTGAAAAGTTGCCAAAAAATCCACAAAAAAATTGGAATATAGAGCTCGACGTTATTTGTTGGAATTTTCGAAAAATTAAAACCGAAAATAACTTTTTCCGGTCGAAATCTACAAGAAAATGTCTTTAGGTAATTTTCCAAGGGTGCTGGCAATTAGGTAAAAAATGTTATAATTAGTAATAAAAAATTGATATGTTTGAAAAGTTGCCAAAAATCCACAAAAAAATTGGAATATAGAGCTCGACGTTATTTGTTGGAATTTTCGAAAAATTAAAACCGAAAATAACTTTTTCCGGTCGAAATCTACAAGAAAATTTCTTTGGGTAATTTTGGAAAGGTGCTGGTAATTAGGTAAAAAATTTCATAAGAAATCCACAAAAAAATCTGGAATATAAATCTCGACGAGCTGATGCGAAAAACATAAACTATAATGATTCCAGACCCAAGCTTTCTTAAAAATTTGGTTTGAAATTGAAATTTTAGAAATATTTCGAAAAGTGTCATATTTCATTTATCAATTTTTAAAAAATTGATAGAATTTTCAAAAAACTAAAGCCGAAAACAACTTTCACCGGGCGAAATATACAAGAAAATATCTTTAGATAATTTCTAATTTGAAGGCTGCTCGGAAATCCGTGAAAAATTTGATAATTGAGTATCTACCGAAAAATTGAGATTTTTGAAAAGTTGTTTAAAATTCCACAAAACAAAATCTGAAATATAGATCTGGACAAGCTGATTCGAAAATAGAAGGTTTTAATGGTCCCGGGCCAAGGATTTCTGAAACACTCGCTTTGAAACTGATTTTTTTTAATATTCGAAAAAATCAAGGATTTTGGAAAAATTCTTTAAATTTTCGAAAAATTGAAGCCGAAAATAACTTGTACCGGTAGAATTATACAAGAGAATGTCTTTAGTTTATTTTTGAAACATGCACGGCAAACGTTCTAGATTTGATAACGATATAGCAAAATTGATATTTTTGAAAAGTTGTCTAAAAATTCACAAAAAAATCTAGGTTATGCATCGCGATGAGGTGATTCATAAAACTTAACATTTTAATGGTCTGAGATCAAATTTTCTTAAATATTCGGTTTGAAAGTCAAATTTTCGAAATCCGTGTCTCAAAAAATGTCATATTTCATTTATCTACGCTGGAGAAATTGTTCGGATTTTTGAAAAACTGAAGCTGAAAATAACTTCTACAGGTCGAAATCTACAAGAAAATGTCTTTAGACAATTTTGAAGGGTACTCGGAAAACCGTGAAAAATTTAATAATTGAATATCTACCGAAAAATTGAGATTTTTGAAAAGTTGTCTAAAAATTCACAAAAAAATTTAGGATACAGATCTCCACGAGCTGATCATAAAACATAACATTTTAATAGTCCCGAACCAAAGTTTTTGTTCAATTTTCGAAATCCATGTCTCAAAAATTATTTCATTTATCTACTCTGGAAAAATTGTTATGATTTCTGAAAAACTCCTCAAAAAGTCCCTAAAAAAATCTGTAAATAGATCTCGACCAGCTGATTCTTCAACAGGTAAAAACACACAAGAAAGTAATTTTCGGAGGGTGCTTCCGAAAAAGTTAAAAAAATTGACACAGAGGGAGTACCAAAAAATTGAAATTTTTGAAATGTTGCTTGAAAATTTTCAAAAAAAATTTTGGAATATCTCAAAAAATGTCATAATTCATAAAATGTCGGAATTTTTGAAAATTGAAAGCGAAAATGACTTCCACCAGTTGAAATCTACAAAATATATATTTAGATAATTTTCGAACTGTACTTGCAAAACAACCAAAAATTTGATAATTATTTGAAAAATCTAACCCGATTCCAAATTGATAACCCCGGACAAAAATTTTCTAAAGTAGTCGATTTCAAATCGAGTAGGTTTATCGAGATTGGCCACAATCACTCGATCATTTGCGTCACATTTTTTATGAACTGGGACAATTTTGATTTTTTTCAGAGAATTTAGAAACTTTCCATGAATATTGCAATTGTTTACCGGTTTTGTGAGAGCACTTATAATTAAATTTAAGACAGATTTTATCTAAATCTAATCTAATCTAATCTAAAAGAACACTTACGTCTAAAAAATTAAAACACTTAAGAAGTTTCATGATAAGAAAGAACGCACTGTGTAAACATAATGAAACAGCTAGTTCGTCTAAAATGCAACTTTTTACGTTACTTTGAACTTCGCATAAATTCAAGTTTCACGTTTTTCGTGTCTACGGAAACGAACACAGGGTGCTTTAAATCCGATTTTAGTAAAACGTGAAGATCGATTAATTTGCGCATAAACTGATCCAATATTGAAATTATAACCAATTTAAATATGTGATAAATTACATTTTTATTATGGCTAATAAAAATTAATTAATAATTAAAACTCGTTTTTGTAGAATTCGGATTTCGAATGATTCACACGAACTAGAAAGTTGCTCTAACAAAAAACTTTAATCATCGCTTCCTTTTAACACCTCTATCAGCGGTCGATAATAATTAGAGAAAAACATTACGTTACTCTCCCGACTTTCCGGTTATCAATTAACCCACCACTCGACTCCAGCAAAAAACCCAATAACCAAACTCGAATAAGCCTCAACAATACACACAATAAACTCACTCTCCTTCAAGGCGACGAGTAGTAAATTCCCAAAAACCATTTTACGCGCTCCCGCAAAATCAAATAACCCTAAAAAATTATAACCCAACTAATCGCGTTACGCGAAAATTTACGTCTGTTATTTTTTTATCACTCTTCCGGGATAATCGAATAATGTGCATCATTTTTCACCTCCGACGCCCCGCCGCCGCTCAGCTCGACTGTGTAACATCGGCTAATTTATAACAAAAAAACACGGATGCGTCAAAACATGACTATTAATTTCTTGCGCCGAAGGTCCTCCAAAAATAAAACCCGACAATTTGCACTGACCTAAGCCAACCGATTTTTCCCCAAAAGAACCCAAGACTTCATCACACGCTGGGGAGCGAAAACGCCCTCCGAGTCGAGGTGACGGCGTAATGGAGAGCCTGCTCGATAAGTGGCCGAATCGAAGCCTTTTTTAATGGAGAATTACAGGTAATGGCTGCGCAATTATGCGACTACTTCCTTGTTTTAAGTGTGTGTTTCAGCTGAACAAATTAACCTTAATTTTTAAGTTTGAAGAGACAACGCGTCGACAACCAAAAATTGGAAAACCACCAAATTTTCAAAAACAAAAATAAATTACAAAACTGTGCGCACTAATTCCAATTGAAGCTAAACATGGCCGCAAAATCCGGAAAGTCCAAAAACTTACTTTTTTCGAAATTTCGTCCAGGCCCGCCTAATTGGAAAACTTTCGCCTTTTCGTCGGCTGTTCGGCCAGGGGTCACATTTTCGACAAAATCGCGGAATTAATTCAGCTGTTCGTTAGTTTTCCGCGCACGTCGCGTGTTTTTTCCCCCGGAGCGAGTGCGTCCACGTCCAAACCTTGCCGGCGTTTATCAAAGACTGAGCGCGCGCTTGCCGGTGGAGGTACAGGCGCTCGTCTTGTTTTTGCCAACTTGTACACGAATTAAGAGATATGACGGCTCCTGGCCGCCCCCGGGGGCAGGCGAGGCTGCTGGAGGGACCGCTACCTGGAAGGCCGAGTGGGGCGGCGGAGCTGCGGGAAAAAGGGCACTGGGGAGGTTTTTGCCGGAGCACAGACGCGTTCCTGCTAATTTCGCGTGGAAGGTGTTTAAGAATTATTAATAATTTTGAGGGGATTGAGGTAGGTCGGGAATGGAGCAGTCACGAACTTGGCTATTGTATTTGTTCGGCGTCTACATCTAGAGTGCCTTTTTATCAGACAGATAATCGCCGAAACTACTGGATCGATTCCTGCGAAATTTTAATGTGTATGAGCAGTATCATGTCGATGGTAAAACGCTAACCGAAATTTGAATAATTTTATCACTCTCTAAATGAGGAGTAATGAGGATTAAATAAGAACTATAATAATAATATTCAGAATATTTTGTTCGATTGTAGCTTACCTAACAATTTTAATCCTCTGGTTTGAGGCTACAAACTCACTCAAATCAAACTAATTTCTACGTGACATTCTTCAGATGTGTACACATATACACTTTCAAGTTGTTTATTTATCGAGCGTGAACTAAGGATCTATTTTGAACAATATGATAATACTTAAAACATGTTTTGGTGAAAAACTCATAAGAAATGAGATAAGGGAAACGTTTAAAATGATAAATTTTTGTTTTGGGAAACATCGATTTTACAATTAAGCTCCGCCCCGCGGTCTAAAATCGAATGAACAATTGGCCACATTTAAGATACGGGTGGGTGGGCGGGGCTTAGCTTTTGACTTCTTTTTTTCTTAAATTTATTTTGAGATCACTTTTCGTTTTTATTGGACGAGATATCGTGGCGGCGATTTCAGAATCTTAACTAGCGGATGATTATCTACAATTTGATACCAATTTTCGGTCGATTAAACCATTTTTAACCACTTTTTTGGAAAATTTTTGGAAATTTTCAATTCACTTTTCGTGTTTTTTGGACCTGATGTCGTGACGCCGATTTCAGAAACGTAACCAGCGGAAGATTATATACAATTTGATGCAAATTTTCGGTCGATTGAACCAATTTTTACGACTTTTTTGGAATTTTTGAATGGTTTTCGGGTTTATTGAAGCAGATATCGTGACGGCAATTTCAGATTAGTAACTAGCAGAAGATTATCTACAATTTGACACCAATTTTCGGTCGATTGAGCCAATTTTAACCACTTTTTTGGAAAATGTTTAGAAATTTTGGATTAACTTTTCGGGTTTATTGGAGCAGATATTGTGATGGCGATTTCAGAATCGTAACCAGCGGAAAATTATCTACAATTTGACACCAATTTTCGGTCAATTAAACCAATTTAAATCACTTTTTTGGAAAATTTTTGGAAATTTTGAATTCACTTGTCGTATTTATTGGACCATATATCGTGACGGCCATTTCAGAATCGTAACCAACGGAAGATTATCTACAATTTGACACCAATTTTCGGTCAATTAAACCAATTTAAATCACTTTTTTGGAAAATTTTTGGAAATTTTGAATTCACTTGTCGTCTTTATTAGACCAAATTTGGTGACGGCGATTTCGGAATCGTAACTAGCCCAAGATTATCTACAATTTGACAGCAATTTTCGGTCGATTAAACTATTTTTAACCACCATTTTGGAAAATTTTTGGAAATTTTGAATTCACTTTTCGTCTTGATTAGACGAAATTTGGTGACGGCGATTTCAGAATCGTAACTTGCGCAAGATTATCTACAATTTGACATCAATTTTCGGACGATTGGGCCAATTTTAACCACTTTTTTGGAAAATTTTTGGAAATTTTGGATTAACTTTTCGGGTTTATCGGAGCAGATATCGTGATGGCGATCTCAGAATCGTAACCAGCGGAAGATTATGTACAATTTGACACCAATTTTCGATCGATTAAACCAATTTTAACCACTTTTTTTGAAAATTTTTAGAAATTTTTAATTCACTTTTCGTATTTATTGGACCAGATATCGTGACAGCGATTTCAGAATCGTAACCAGCGGAAGATTATCTACAATTTGACACCAATTTTTAGTCGATTAAACCAATTTTAACCACTTTTTTGGAAAATTTTTGGAAATTTTGAATTCACTTTTCGTGTTTATTGGACCAGATATGGTGACGGCGATTTCAGAATCGTAACTAGCGGAAGATTATCTACAATTTGACACCAATTTTCGGTCGATCAAACCAATTTTAACCACCATTTTGGAAAATTTTTGGAAATTTTGAATTCACTTTTCGTCTTGATAAGACCAAATTTGGTGACGGCGATTTCTGAATCGTAACTTGCGCAAGATTATCTACAATTTGACAGCAATTTTCGGACGATTAGACGAATTTTGACCACTTTTTTGGAAAATTTTTGGAAATTTTGGATTAACTTTTCGGGTTTATTGGACCAGATATCGTGACGGCGATTTCAGAATCGTAACCAGCGGAAGATTATCTACAATTTGACACCAATTTTTAGTCGATTAAACCAATTTTCACCACTTTTTTGCAAAATTTTTGGAAATTTTGAATTTACTGTTCGTGTGTATTGGACGAGATATCGTGGCGGCGATTTCAGAATCTTAACTAGCGGAATATTATTCACAATTTGACACCAATTTTTGGTCGATTAAACCAATTTTAACCACTTTTTTGGAAAATTTTTGAAAACTTTGAATTTACTTTCCGTGTATATTGGACCAGATATAGTGACGGCGATTTAAGAATCGTAACTAGCGGAAGATTATCTACAATTTGATACCAATTTTCGGTCGATTAAACCATTTTTAACCACTTTTTTGGAAAACTTTTGGAAATTTTTAATTCACTTTTCGTGTTTTTTGGACTAGATATCGTGACGGCGATTTCAGAATCGTAACTAACGGAAGATTATCTACAATTTGATACCAATTTTTAGTCGATCAAACCAATTTGAACCACTTTTTTGGAAAATTTTTGGTAATTTTGAATTCACTTTTAGTCTTTATTAGAACAAATTTGGTGACGGTGATTTCAGAATCGAAACAACCGCAAGATTGTCTACAATTTGACACCAGTTTTCGGACGATTAAACCAATTTTAACCACTTTTTTGGAAAATTTTTGGAAATTTTGAATTCATTCTTCGACTTTGTTGGACCAGATATCGTGACGGCTATTGCAGAAGCGTCACTAGCGGAAGATTATCTACAATTTGACACCAATTTTCGGTCGAATAAACCAATTTTAACCGTTTTTTTGGATAATTTTTGGAAATTTTGAATTCATTTTTCGACTTTGTTGAACCAGAAATCGTGACGGCGGTTTCAGAATCGTAACTAGCGGAAGATTATCAAAAATTTGACACCAATTTTCGGTCGATCAAACTAATTTTAACCAGCTTTTTGGAAATTTTTTAAAATTTTGGGTTCACTTTTCGTCTTTATTGGACGAGATATCGTGGCGGCGATTTCAGAATCGTAACCAGCGGAAGATTATCTACACTTTGACACCAATTTTTAGTCTATTAAAACAATTTTAACCACTTTTTTGGAAAATTTTTGGAAATTGTGAATTTATTTTACGACTTTGTTGGACAAGTTATCGTGACGGCGGTTTCAGAATCGTCACTAGCGGAAGATTATCAACAATTTGACAACAAATTTCGGTCGATTAAACCATTTTTAAGCACTTTTTTGGAAAATTTTTGGAAATTTTGAGTTCACTTTTCGTCTTTATTGGACGAGATATCGAGACGGCGATTTCAGAATCGTAACCATCGAAAGATAATTAACAATTTGAGACCAATTTTTACTCGATTAAACCAATTTTAACCACTTTTTTGGAAAATTTTTGGAAATTTTGAGTTCACTCTTCGTCTTTATCGGACGAGACATCGTGGCGGCGGTTTCAGAATCGTAACTAGCGGAAGATTATCAACAATTTGCCGCCAATTTTCGGTCGATCAAACCAATTTTAACCACTTTTTTGGAAATATTTGGAAATTTTGAATTCACTTTTCGTCTTAATTAGACCAAGTTTGGTAACGACGATTTTAGAATCGTAACTAACGCAAGATTATCTACAATTTGACACCAATTTTCGGTCGATTAAACCAATTTTAACCATTTTTTTGGAAACTTTTTGGAAATTTTGTATTCATTTTTCGACATTGTTGGACCAGATATCGTGACGGCGGTTTCAGAATCGTAACTAGTGGAAGATTATCAAAAATTTGACGCCAATTTTCGATCGATCAAACCAATTTGAACCACTTTTTGGAAATATTTGGAAATTTTGAATTCACTTTTCGTCTTTATTAGACCAGGTTTGGTAACGACGATTTCAGAATCGTAACTAGCGCAAGATTATCTACAGTTTGACACCAATTTTCGGTCGATTAAACCAATTTTAACCATTTTTTGGAAAATTTTTGGAAATTTTGAATTCATTTTTCGACTTTGTTGGACCAGATATCGTGACGGCGATTTCACAGTCGTAATCAGCGGACGATTATCTACAATTTGACAATAATTTTTAGTCGATTAAACCAATTTTAACCACTTTTTTGAAAAATTTTTGAAAATTTTGAGTTCACTTTTCGTGTTTGTTGGACCAGATATTGTGGCGGCGATTTCAGAATCGTAACCGCCGGAAGATTATCTACAATTTGACACCAATTTTTAATCTATTAAACCAATTTTAACCACTTTTTTGGAAAGTTTTTGGAAATTTTGAATTCACTTTTCGTTTTTATTGGACAAGATATCGTGACGGCGTTTTAAGAATCGTAACTAGCGGAAAATTATCTACAATTTGACACCAATTTTCGGTCGATTAACATATATATTTTTCTTTCAACAACATGATTCTTAAAAACATGTTTCTCTTGTAGAGAAATAAGGATTTTG